GCTATTTTTATATAGACGCGCGTATTGAAGCATACATACACTTTAGTGAGTGTTGCAGTCGATGTAGTTGCTGTGTCAACGGTATTTGTCAAGACCAAGAGTGTATAGATATAGAGACTCGACCACATGTCTGCAACCTCATGTACTAGACGGGTTTTAGGGTTTAGATTGAATATGTACATGTACGAAAAAATTGGAAACTCATGTACTACTAAACGCAGTCATTCGCACATTTGTATTCTGAAAACTCGTCTTTGACTCTTGTCGCCGGACGTACATACCGAAGTAGACTGTCCACCGATCCTACCTCCCGCTAATTCGAATTTAATTCGCACTAATTCAGGAGCTGGCTATAGCGGTGCGAAAGTTCCTCGAGGACGACACAGCATACAACGAGTTCTTTGCGTGGAAGGAGCAGGGACCCTCTGAGCAGTTCATGACACACGTAGACCATTGCGCACATTACGCAGAGTGTCGTATCTGCGAACACGTGCACCGCAACTGGTGATAAGATAATGTAGATATGTTTGTATGTACATACACACACAGTTTAGAAACGAGATGCTGAATAACAGAACTGGTGATAAGATAATATAGATGTGTGTGTGTGTACATAAAAAATACACACACAGTTTAGAAACGAGATGCTGAATAAAAGAACTGGTGATAAGATAATGTAGATATGTGTGTATGTACATACACAGTTTAGAAACGAGATGCTGAATAAAAGAATCTAAGTGGGTGTACGAACGGATATGATTCTGAAACGTATAATTGAATGCAATAGGGTAGGTATGTGTATGCGAGTACACAATGTGGAAACGTAAATTCGAATACAATAACGCAGGTGTGTACAAAAGTACAGAGTTTAGAAACGTCGAATTTATATACCAAAATGTAGGTATGTGTACATTAAGTACACAATCTAGAAACGTATAATTGAGTACAATAATGTAAGACGTGTACATATTTGAATACAATAACGTAGTTGTGTACAAATTTACGCATCTTTAGAAGCGTAAATTTGAATACAAGAACGTTGTACGTGCACAGCAGCTTACTAGAAACGTAAATTCGAATCTAATAATGTAGGTATATGTATTTTTGACTTCTTGTATGTCTGTGTCTGTGGCTGCCTCTGAATGCCTCATGAAAGGGTGGTATTTAGTCGAAGAGTACATGCTAAATATATTTTTTACTATATATAAAAACACACATATGTACGTAGGTACAGACTATGTACAGTATGTATGTACAAATGTACATAATTTTTTTTTAATAAAATTGAATTATTAACCACCTCAGGCCCAGTTTCCTACCAGTCTCATACATACTTTTTCGAGTTTACTTTGCTTTTAAGATGTATAGCGTGATTTTAGCCCATTTATTGCACTTGTATTAGTTCTTTGTCGGCCATAGAGGAGAGGTTGACGTATGTTAGATACGAATAGTGTCAACTGTAAAACCATGGGGGAATCCGAAGCAATAGCTATGACAGAGGACGCCTATATACATGTGTCTAACTGCTAACATATGTCAAGCCCTTAAGACCGACAAGGACCTGACATAAGTGCAACAAATGGGTTGTATCCGCGCTACAATATCTAACATTTAAGTCGAGCGCTTTCAGCCGACAGATAACAAACAACCCGGCAGAAAACAAACACATCTCACAAGTGCTTAAAATCACGGCAATTACGTTATTATACACCGATATTTAAGCAAATTAAACTCGAAAAAGTATTAGTATGAGACTGGTAGGAAACTAGGCCTGAGGTGGTTAATAGTTTTATTGTTACCAGTGCCGTATAAAGACATTCTCGCATACTATTTGTTTTTGAAAAAACTTCTGGTCGTTGTCGTGAAATCGCGATAAAACTAAAAACGGATTGAAAAAAAAAGAAAGGGAGCCCCAGCTCAAGGAGCCTCAAGCTGTAAATACGCTATCAATGATGAATTAAACTTTTATTTATATCATATCATAACAACTCTATTCTATTTTATTTTAACGGGGTATAAAAAGAGTCCATATTTCTCATATTTTATGACTGATTACATACATCATAAATACAAGTACTGATAAAACATAGATAAACAAATAGATTATGTATGTATTTAGAACAAGACGCTAGTTTGTAAGAACAAACTCTACTAAATATTGTACTGTATTGTACTATATTTTTAATATATTTACGCTATACCATACGACAGAATACTACACTACACTACACTACACAACACTACACAACGTCAAAGATGTCATCCAAGCAACTCATCACCATCCTTCCCTACTACAAGGTCAAAAACAACGGCGCCGATGACATGCGGAAGGTCATGAATGACGGCGTCGAGATTGTGCACGCTAACGAGCCAGGGTGTCTGTTCTTCTCTTTCATTGTGAATGGCAATGAGGTGTTCGTACGAGAAGGCTATGCCAGTGCAGACGCGGTGAAGAAGCACATGGTCAACTGTGGGGCTTTGGCTGTGAAGTTCCTGGAGAGCGCCGATTTGGTCAAGTGTGAGATGCATGGGCCAAAGAAGGAACTGGATCAACTGGGAGAGACCCTGCAGGTGTTTAACCCCGCCTATTGGTACGAGGAGGGGCTTGTGCATCTACAGTAGGTGTATAGATATAAATATAAATAAGGTAATGCTGCTTTAACTCGGGGTGATTCGTTTAGTACACTCGATGTATCTATTGTAGGTAGTCGTATAGGTTGTGGAGAGACGCTGTAAGTGTTTAACCCCGCCTATTGGTACGAGGAGGGGCTTGTGCATCTACAGTAGGTGTATAGATATAAATATAAATAAATAAGTTGATGCTGCTTTAACTCGGGGTTATTTGTTTAATACACTCGATGTATCTATTGTAGGTAGTCGTATAGGTTGTGGAGAGACGCTGCAGGTGTTTAATCCCATCTAGTGGTACGAGGAGGGACTTGTGCATCTACAGTAGGTGTATAGATAAAATATAAATATATAAGTTAATGCTGCTTTAACTCGGGGTTATTTGTTTAATACACTCGATGTATCTGTTGTAGGCAGTCGTATAGTTTGTGTATGTACCCCCGATGTATCCTAGTCGAAGGAACATAGATACACACAAATAGATGTGTGGTAGTGGTCTCTGCTGACACTCATACACGACATTTCAATTACATCTTGCATCTGTTTACACTAATGCACGTTATACATCTATGTACAGAGATACACACACATGTATGTGGTAGAGATCCCTGCTGACACGCATACGCGACACTTCCATTGCATATGACATCTGTCAGGGTTAAAAGACATCATACATTGATGTACAGAGCTACACACATGTGTGTGATGGAGATCTCTGCTGACACTCAGACACAGCCGACACTTTAGTTGCGTATGCCATCTGTCCACGTGCATATTTATTTTTCGCCCTCCAACTCATCGTGAAGACTCATAGCCTCCTGAATAATCAACAGAAGACTATGTGTACCAAAACCCTAAACCCTGACATGCTTTCATGTATCACGGAAAGCGTACGCTTGTTCTTTTATCGTCCGTGACGTTTTCCCCCATTTATAACCCCCCCCTTTGTCAAGAGGATATTTATCGGTAGTTTTTCTCAGGATCTACACTAGAAGCTTCGGACTTCGAATCTTGCGAAGTGTCCGGAAAAGTGCCTTAAAACAATCTAGTATACGTGTATGCTTCTAATACATACCATACACGAATGCAAGCCAATACGTTTAAACCAATCTAGTATTAGTGTGTGCCTCTAATACATAGCAGAAAAGAATGCAAGTCAATACGTTTGGACCATTCTAGTATACGTGTATGCCTTTAATACATAGCATACAAGTATGTAAGCCAGTCATTCAAAGATCTTTTATTCGTTATTAGTTCCCCAACCCCATACCACCTCCGCCCTATGTACATAACACTAGCCTTCAGGTATAGAAATAAAACAGTACTAATATCAAGCTTCTCATCTATAATCTCCTCACCACTCTCCTCTGCTCTACCCAATGTACGTAACACCAAGTATAGATACAAATACAACCCAATACTGATACCAAGCTTTCCTCCTCTGCTCTACCCAATGTACGTAATACCAAGTATAGATACAAATACAACCCAATTCTGATACCAAGCTTTCCTCCTCTCCCCTGGCGCCCCTATCAGCCCCATGCCCCAAACACACAGGACTAATACCAAGCTCCCCTACTCTCGTCTGGCACACTGACGCACCACCGCCGTGCTCACCAACAACTTGTCCGCATCCAACAGTTCCAGATACACCGTTCTGTACGCCCACACATCCAAGCTGTCGTCCTGTATCTCCCACACCTCATCGTGTGTGCTACGCTCGTGCTCGTCTGTGGTGAGTGTGTACAGTTGGTCTGGGCTGACTATGGCTGGGCCGCTGAAGGTGTACGTGATGTGTTGTGTACCAGGTAGGTCGTAGCCAGAGGCGTCGACGGTTTCATCGGTGTATCTCACTCGGATCATCCAGCTGTGGAGAAGGAATGGGGTGTTATGTATTAATATCATGGTGTGTATAGATGGATTGGGGTGTTGTGCATTAATGATATGGTGTGTATAAAAGGAATGGGGTGTTAAATATTAATATCATGGTGTTATAGAAGAAATGGTGTATTGTATACTAATATCGTGGACTGTATACTACAAATAGTGTACTATATATTCGGATCATTCATCTGTATACAACAAATAGGGTATTACATATTAATATCATAGTGTAAGTTCGATGAATATAACAATAGAACAAGTGAGTTGGTGTGGTTGCGTGATCCATCTATTGGCTCGTATTCTAGAAAGAGTGCGTATTATATTATTATCATAG